CTCTCTCTCTCTCTCTCTCTCTCTCTCTCTCTCGCTACCGGTAGCTCTGGGCTCAGCAAGGCTCAGGTTACCGGTAGCGGGAGGCTCGGACGAAGGGCGACGGCCTGGATATATCATCTTTGGAGTCTGGACTGACCAGGCCGAGGTAAATTCAGAGTGACTTTCTCTCAGTTTATTCCATCTGGATTTGAACTCAGGTCTGTGTTTCATCAGGTCCTAGGTGTTATAAAACGTGAAGTATATACACAATCAAGTTTAATAAACTTGGAAAAAGTTCACTGTGTGCCCAAAAAAAATGATTCGCGCCAGTGGAATACTTTCTTATTTGGCTGGCGCCGCCAGCCATTTTGGTCCGGTAGCACTGTTGATCTGAAGAACCCCGACTGTCGCAATTTCAATTCCCAAGTTTGCCTGGGCAAGGTACTGATGGATCAATGAAGTTTCCATGAAAAAGACAATTGGACAATTTATAGAAGACTAATAATGAATATGACAATATGAAAATGGGCCTTGCCGCACCACTCACCAAACGTGCAAAATGAAAATAAATATTTCGCTAGCACGTGCAAAGATGCACCCTCCCACCCGCCATATTTTTGTCTTTTCCACATTTTGTGAGCGGTGCGGTTATAGGCCCGACATGTATGATACTCTGACATGTAAATTCATAATGACCTGACCCACAGACCAACAGTCAGTCAAAGGGAGAAGCACATACAAAAGCAGTAAAAAAACAAAAGGAGCCAACATTCACCTCTCTATGAACTGATTGCCACTCAAGCTTGAAATTCCCATGTAGAGGAACACTCCATATGTTACCTGCCAAGCCAATAAACCAGAGTTGAAAAAAAAAGAGGGGAAAAGAAAAAGACAAGAACATACCTGTGAATACTCAAATTTAAGTTCCATTGAAGAGCTTTGGCTGCTGTCTTTTCCCAAATAAAACGCCCGGTCATTACATCTGTATTTGGGGCAATTTTCAGACTATGTACGGCTACAACGACTGGGTGTTCTATGCGGATGAAGACGGTAGGGCTCTTACCCTCACCTGGTGGATGGCTGCTTCTGCTGATGTTTCTCCATTAAAAGGAAAAGAGAGTTACATCAAACGGTCACACATCAAGTCATGTGAACTTGTTACTCGGCTTAAGCATCACTTGGACAGCAGTTAACCACCCGTCTGCCTATCACTGGTCAAGAGAAAAAGCATAAGGGGTCACTTGCCCCCCCCCCCTCCCAAAGGAAAAAAGAGGAAGGACAGAGGGGGGGCAGATGGCCAAAATCAGTTGCAAAAATCATAGTGTCAGGTAATATTCCAGCTTAGGTTGTTTGGGAATGAATCTGGATGCCATCATGGTCAAATACATCCAGAAGAGAGTCCCATCGCGAAGAGATTCCCTCATCAGCTGTGAAGAACAATTAAATTCCACGTGCAGGTAGAGTTATTCACATGACATGGCCAAAATCAGGGTGCAAATCGCAGTCCGAGGGCATATCCCAATCCGCGCTGTTTGGGAATGAATCTGGGGGGTATTACGACCAAACAACGTCCAGGAGTACTAGTGCTGTGAATAAATACCCTCAGTCGCAAGGAGCCATTAAATTCCACTTGCCGTGACTTGCGGGTATTCATTTGAATGACGTGGCCAATATCAGGTGCAATCAGAGTCTCGGAACATATTCCCACTCAGACTGTTTTGTGAGGCCTCAGGCCTCGGCTTGTCCAAAGTGGCTGCCCGTCAAAAGAAAAGGTAAGGCCGCCCTAAGTCCAGGCGGGCCTGAGGAAAAGGAAGCCAGCTCTAAGTGAAGGCCATGCAGGGGGGTATTACCCGGCCTAAAACAAGTACCAGCCCCCATAACTAACTGGTAGACGCAGTCTCGAGTTAGTTAGGCGGCAGGGACCAGGAATGATAACCAGTTGGCAGCAGGAACTGCCTACTGGGACCCGGGCCGCAGCCTCCAGGCGTGACAAGAGGGCGGAGGCCGCTGGGCAAAAGACATGAAATGTTCAGGCATTGACAGCATATGTCAGCGTTGGAGCGGAGTATTGCAGCCATATATCACCCAGGCGAGAGGAAGCGGCAGCTGCAGTGGCTGCTGCGCTAGCGCCTGCCATAGGTGGGCAGTGCCACCGTCTTCACCCGAATAGAACGCCCTGTCATTATAGGTGTATTTGGGGCACTTTTCAGTCCATGTGCAGTGATAATGACCAGGCGTTCTATTCGGGTGACAACGCTAGGGAGGGAGGAGGGTAGGTGTATAGGAGGTCAGAGGAAAGGAGTGAGACTGTGACAACTAATGGTGCTTACCTGGACAATTCAACACATGAGATAGCAGGCAATAGTAACACAGCGTCTCTGCAGACAGCTTTTCCAGAACACAATTGAAAAAAACGCAAAAAAAAAAAAGTCACCCGTGGTACAGGATAGGATAAGAAGTAGAAGGTTTATTGGGATTAGCCTCACGGCTCTAGCATGCTCAGACTACCGGGCAGCTGTAACAGCTGAGGGGCATACAAGGCTAGAAAAAGGGAGCATAGACGGCTGGCTATCGAGATGGATAGGCATATTAGGCAATCTTTTCCTTCTTTCATACCTTGTGCTTTTACCACGCGATATTTGGGTACCTAGGAAATCTGTCTAGAGTCAAATAGATTGAGAATCATATACAAAATTAAATATAGATACAAGTAACAAATCATAAAATAGAATACAAGATAAAAGACCGAGACAAGAAGGCTAGTAAGCTTATACTGGGTAACGCTCCCAGGATAACTCCGGGGGTCAAATTGTGAGGTCCCCAGTCTCAAACTTCTTTTTAATAGGAGAGGAAGGGAGGTGTAACAACAAAAAAAAGAAAAGAAAAAAAAAAAGAAAGAAAGAAAGAAAGAGGGAGTGGAAGACTCAAGCTTCTTGCCTGGTATTGTTATAAAGGAAAAACAGAGAAATAATACTGTTATCTTACCGGCATTGGAATTAATCGCAGAAGTGACAGAAGCAGAAGGGACGCGCCAACACACACCTGCAACATCCACCGAAAATAACATCATGTCAATTGCGAATAGCAGATAACGTAGAAGGGCACCGCCAAATGTAACCAAAAAAAAAAAAAAAAAAGGAAGTTGCAATAACCTATCCAGGTTTTAGACTGAGAATCTGAGTGTTGGCTGAGCAGATTCCTGCTTCTGATGAGATCCTGAGGGTTGCCAGGGTTTGGACTGAGCTTTCTGAATCTGTGGGTTCACTGGTCTGTCTGCTGTACATCAGTCTACCTGATCCATGTCGAGGGACAGGCCTGCTGGTGCTATGCTCATGCTTGGAAAGCAAGACGTGGGAAAGTAGAGGGTAATAATGGCCGAGGCAGTAATTTTCCCACCAAGAACCTATCACCAGTGGGGCCTGACCATGAGTCCATGCCCGATGCTAACCTCGTTCGTAGGCTGTGTTTCTGTGTTCCGATAGGGGTAGATTATTAAATAGATGTAGTGACAGGGATCAGACAAAGATGTCCCTCCACTGTCGTCTTCCTTCCACCATCATATTTCTTCTGCCATTTCCCTCCCCCTTCATCCCAGCACTCCACTTTGTCTCCACCATTTGTCTCTTTCTTCCCAACCACTCCTCCTCCCTGTTTTCGCTGACTTCCCTCCTGTTTCCACCATCCCCCCTCTTCCCAGGGCAGGTGAGTAGGGTAACGTTCTTGTAGGCAGCATGGTTATGACGGGGAAGAGAAGCGTGTAAGGGCGGCGGCATGGGTTTCCGAGAAGGTCATGGGTAAGATTGGTTTGCATCGCATCAACGGGATTTGCACTGACAATGCAAACGTGAACAAGGTCGCGGCTCATATCCTAGAATGGCACACGGATGAGGTGGTTGCTAGGTTCCCTTGGGTCCCATTTACAGCCTTGTTTGCAAAAGCTGAAGACGTGCAGCCACTCACAGAACGTTGGGATGACAGAACATGCACATTCATCACCGATGGTTCGACAGATCATCGCAACAGGCACACCATGAATTTCTACACTGCAGGTGAGTAGGGTGCTGTTCTTGTAGGCAGCATGGATATGCCGGGGAAGGAGAAGCGTGTTAGGAACTTGGCTTGGATTTGCGAGAAGGTCATGGGTAAGATTGGTTTGCAGTGCAGAGCATCAACGGGATTTGCACCGACAATGCAAAGGTGAACAAGGCTGCAGTCTTGCAGATCATATTTTAGAACGGCACACGCATGAGGTGGTTGCTAGGTTCCCTTGGGTCCCATGTTCTCGCCATTGTTAAAA